GCATTACTTTGGTTTTTGTTTTATTGAGTTTCATACCCTTTTTAATCAGCACATTATTCCATATGTTGACATTCTCTTGTAGTTTTTTTACGGTATCCGTGACTAATACTACATCATCCGCAAAAGCACAATCTGTTACTTCGATTGGTTGCAAGTTTCTATATCCGATGTACATTGGTCTAATTCTCTGGTTGGTTTCACGAATAATTTCGTCCATATAAATTATAAATAACAGTGGACTCAGGCTTCCTCCCTGGCGTACTCCTTCTTTTGTCTTAAATATTTCAGATTTCATATTGTTTTTTATTACGTAATTGTTAGTTTCGTCATATAAACTTTTTATTACATTAATCATTTTATCACCAACATTTCTTTTCTTTAGCGTGTTCCATATTTCTTGTCTTGGTACTCTATCAAATGCTTTTTCCATGTCTAGGAATGCGAAGTATGCCTCTTTATTATGTGTCAGTGTTTTGTTTATAATTTCTTTGATTGTAAAAATATTATCCTGAGTGCTTCTTCCTTTTCTAAATCCACTTTGGGAATTTGATAAACTTGCTTCTGTTATTGATCTCAGTTTTCTTTCTATTATTTGTTCAAAGACTTTGACCGCCGTACTTAATATTGTTATTCCTCTATAATTATTACATTCTTTCCTGTCGCCCTTTTTATGTATAGGCAATATAACTCCTAGCGTCCAATCTGAAGGTACTTTTTCTTCATTCCATACTTTGTTATAAATTTGTCTTAATGTTTCTTTTCCAAGTATTCCCATGTTTTTGAACATCTCCGCTGTTATTTTGTCATGTCCAGGTGATTTACCATTTTTTAACTTCTTGATTGCTTCATCTACCTCATCTCTAGTAACAACTTCTATATCAATTTCCTCTTTAGTATTAGATATTTCAATTTCTTTCTGCTGGTACGTGCTATCTGCGTTTAAAAGTTGTTCAAAATATTGCTGCCATCTTTGCATGATTTGGTTTTCTTCAATTAAAACTGTACCATCTGTACTTTTAACTGTCACTGTATCATATTCTGTTTTATTTCTCATATTTTTTAGTGTCTTATAGAACAGTTTCTGATTTCCTTTACTATCTCTTTCTAATTTTTCTCCAAAATCCTTCCAGGTCTTTTGTTTTGCCTCTCTTACTGACGTTTTCACATATTTACATTGTTCTTTATATAATTTATAATTTTCCTGCGTTTTATTGCTTAGGAATTTTTTCCACATTTGTTTTTTAATTTTAATGTGTTTCTTTAAATTCTCTGACCACCATGCCGTTTGTTTTCTGTCTGTATTAATTTTATGGGTCCCGCATACTATTTTAGCCGTATTTAAAATTATATTTTTAAATTCCTCCCAAATTTCTTCTAATGTCAACATTTTTGTCCTCTCTATTAGTTTTTCCATCTGCTTATTTGTTTCGTTCTCAAATTTCCTTGCTATTTCATTTTCCCTTAATTTATAACTTCTTATATTTATATTTACTGGCGGTCTCTTGGTCGTTTTCATTCTTTTCGCCGTTTGAACATTGTTAAATTCTTTTAATTTAGCTTCTACCAAGAAATGATCACTATTTATTTCATATCCCCTTTTTACACACACATCGTTCACCATTTTTCTATTAAATTTATCTACTATAATATAATCTATTATCGACCTTTCACCTCTACTAGGTTCCACTCTTGTATATTTATGTATATCTTTGTGTTCAAAGAAGGTATTAGTTATTATCAAATTATGTGTCTGACAGAAATCTATTAATCTATTTCCATTGTTATTTCTTACATTTTCACCGTGTTTACCAATAATTTCATTATTTGTCGTATTTCCTATTCCAACCCTGGCATTAAAATCGCCTAATAGGTATATTTCTCCTTTAGCTTCTTCTACCGCTAGGGATAACTCGTCCCAGAATTCTTCCTTCTTCTCTGCTTTCTCAACTTCGTCATGACCGTATACTCCTATTATTGTTAGGTTTCTACCGTTATAATTAATTTCTATTGCTATTATTCTTGGCGATACAGCCGTCCATTTTTGCATATTCATTTTAATCTTACTATGTATTATACATCCAACACCTGCCGATGCTCGTTGGTTTTCTTCTACACCACTGTATATGAGCAAGTGTCCGTCTCCTATTTCCATTATACCTTTTCCTTTTTTCTTCGTTTCCGTTATTATTAAAATTTCCATTGCGGTCTTTTCGAACTCTTCTGCCAATTCAATTTCCTTTCCATTCAAACTTCTTATATTCCATGTTCCTATCTTCTTATAGTTTTTCTTCTTTTCCTGTTCTGCTATGTTTATGGTTTTATGGGTTTTTTCTTGTTTTTTTGTTCCGTCCGTTGTTTTCCATGTCATTACCATTTCGTTGCTAGTGTCCGTCATCAGTTTTCCCTCATATTCGTAGTTAATTAGTTTTTTGACGTTTGTTTCACTATACTTTCAGTTATTTTATTCCACCTCCACTCTTCTCCATTGATAATAATTTTATTATACCCTATTTTTACGGTATTTCCCTTTTCTTTTTCTGTTTTGGCAACCAGTCTCATTTTCTTTTGCTTTTCCCTTTCTTTAAATGTCATGTCTTCACTAATAAATATACGATCTTCACTCATATATCTTAATTTAGATTTATTAGCCATAATATCATTTTTCTCTTTCTCGTTTTCAAGACTAATAACACATGTTTTTTCACCTATTTTTGTAACTGATTTTGGAGTAGTATCAATATTTAAGTTTTCTTTTATAAAATCTTTAATATGTTCTTTTAAGACCAGTGGTTCATTTGTGGTCATTTTTAATCCATTTATTACTACATTATTTTTTTTACTCTCTTTTTCTAATATTTCCATTACTCTTTTCATATTCCGCAATTCATCACGCACTTCAGAATTTTCCTTTCTAATTTCTGTATTTTCCTTTTTTTCAAAAATTGATTTTCCTCTTTTTAGCCTACGAATTTCTTCATTAAACTGCTTTTGTTGAGCCATTATTTCTTGAGTTTTTTTAATATCTCTCTGTTCTTTTTTCATTTCTTTTTGATCATGACTCATCTCCCTCATCATCACTAAAATTTGATCCAGTTTTCCTTCAGTTTCTTCTCTTTGAAATTTGGTAGGTGTTCTAGATATTTTTTTACTTCTTTCAAAAGCTTCCCCCATACTTAAGCCCTTCCTTTTTTTCCCCTCGTCAGTAGAGTACTCGTCACTATCTATCATTATACTTTACGTACTGAAACCGCGATAAGAGTTTTACCCGAATCAACTTCTCGGAAGTTAGACTCTTCTCAGTTTTCATTTCAGATGCGTACTACAAGGTAATAAATGAATGAATAGGCTCCCTCGCCTCTAATCGGTGTTGTCATATTGTAAAGAACTTATCCTTTTTAAACAGTATCCGACTTATAATTTAGTAGTATAAGAACTATTTAATACATCTATGGAATATTAAAACCTACTTTATTAAACTGTAGTATTAATATCCCAATATATGTGTGTAACAAGAAAAAAAATATTGATAATATTAAAGACGTGACAACATAGGCTGGATGAGGAAGGCTCCGTCGACTGTACCCAGAAGTAAACATGTATACAAAAAATATTGTTTGACCGCGTTGAGATGTAAATAGTGTAGTCTATATTTTATTTTAAGTCTATGGTTGTAACTAAATGTATAATTAATTAAATGATAGTATTCATATCTGTCAGTTTTAAAATTTATAACAGAGATTTTTATCTCAAAGTTATAATATGCTCGGGCAATGTAAACAAATCGAAAATATAAAAAATAATCCAGTTATTTAGGCTTGTCGGAAGCGCTAAAGACTCATGAGTATTTCTATGTAAAAATCAACGCGCTACGATAATTATTAACGAAATGACGGCAGGTTTAAAATTATTTATTTTGTTAAATCGGCGCGTCGCTGTCTCGCTTGTCTACTGGGCTGCCCGCGGCCACGCGCTAAGGTCGTTGTGCAATCCGGACGCTCAATTGTTGAAAAAGAATATAAAATAAAGTTGTTTAATTATGACAGTTATTTCGAGCTTTTGTTTATAATATCTTGATTTAAATCAGAGATTTAAACAATAATATTATGACGTTTATCAAATTGTTACATATTAAAAGAAGCCATCTATTTTTTTTGTAAAAAATATTAAATTGTTTCTAATTATGATTAGGAATATTTATAAATACGACTTATTTTTTGAGACTTTTTGTCTTTTGAGACATGTTAAAACTTAAATAATGTTAGTTTTTAGATTAGTTTTAGGCCGACCCCAGTGAAATTATAGGGCGTTCTTATTTCTAAGGCTGATTTAAAAATATGTATTTATTTATTTAATGTTTTGCGGCATGTTTGTTAATAAAATCAGTTTATTAAAAAATGTTATAAAATAAATTTGTTACATATAGGTGCCTATATGAAAAGTAAACTTTATTATATTGTTGTTAGAAATATACAATATAATTTTATGATATATGTATGTTGTTTTATTAACCAAAAGTATCAATATATTTTAACTGTAATAAATTTATTACATTCCATTTTCTTAAGATATTTAGCTTTTGAGTATACAATAAAATCCACTTAGGATTTTAATAAATACAATACATTTCTGTTTGTAATTTAATATGATACTTAAAATAATACTTAAGTTAAAATATTAAGAGATCATTCCTTGGTCTCTTCTTGTTGAGCCATTCGTAATTAAATTTTTATACCTTCAACATTTTATCATAAAAAAATTGTCTCTAAAAATGCATTTCTTTTAAAAAATCATTCACCATTTCGTCGTTAAAATTGTCCTTGAATGAAAGTAGATCTAATTAATATTTAAAATACATAATACATTTATTTTCTCTGTTTTATTTTGATAAACTTATTTATTTGATTTGTTTATGATATTGGTACTTTAAATTTACAATTACTAAACTCGGCAAATGGATAATTTTAAAATTTAAGCTGGTGTATTTTTGGTTGCAGAATATCAATAGAAAACACAACAGCAGACATAACCTATATAATTTATAAAAACATTTTTTAAAAGCCACGAAAACAAACACTCCCTTTCAAAAATTATAGTCTTTATAGAGTTAAATATGAGTATATAAAACAATGATAAGCCACGTTCCACTAGGTATCACCTAATATTCTATTAATATTGACAAAATTAAAATGGTTGAAGAGCAAAGTTTGTTAGGAAAGTACATAATAATCTTTCTTGTTGTAAGTGGATATTGGTAAGTGTTAAAATAATATCAGTTCATATTCTTAACGCTACTGCCTCCATTTTAGGATTATTTCTATTGCTACAGTATTTGTAAATAAGACTTTATTGAGTCACATTGAGTTAGATGCTCCGATATTTATAAACTTAAGCCAGACCTTAGTAACTGCTTTGATATGTTATGGCAAGAAAACCCTAAGCATATTATTTCCCCACACATTTTCATTTCCAGACACAAATATATGGGATCGTCAAATTATAAAGACGGTATGGAAAACATTTTGATATTTTTTCTTCTCAATTTACCGTATATATTTTTAGATTTTACCAGTCTCGATTATGTTTACTGGAATGATTGCATCTAATAATTTGTGTTTGAAATACGTATCGGTGGCGTTTTATTATATTGGACGGTCTTTAACTACTATTTTTAATGTATTATTTACATTTCTAATATTAGGGGAAAAGACATCGAAGAAATGTATGTTGTGTTGCGGTGTTATAATCGCAGGATTCTGGATGGGTGTAGATCAAGAACATTTTGCAGGTAAGATGTAATTCATATTTTATAAAAAAATATTTTTTTTTAACATAGCGTACAGTTTGTATTGTTCAAGCTATTTTTAGATAATTTAAAATAATTATTATGAAATAGGTACTTCAATAGATTAGATATATAGAAATTTTTTAGTAAAGTGTTACCGGAAAAGATTAAATAAATACGTTTTTATTGTTGAGTTTGTAAAAAATATATCTTTTGTAATATCATTAACATTATTAAAAAATAACTATAAAGTTGAGTTTAACACACTGCATGGTTTATTTTTCAGTGGAATACCTACTGTATATTATTTTTGTCAGTAAATTATTTTCATTGCAAAAATAGTTTGTGTAATATATTGAGTGGTTTTTGAAATATAACCATTTATAGACTAAATTTTCTACACATCTTTCTAAAAAGTGTAAAATATCATATTATTGAGGCTTTTAACTAGAATATTATTTATTATGTATTGTTGTATTTATGGAGGCTGTATTATAGAGTTAGATTATTAAAAGTAGATTACAACTACTGTGACTGTATACATTTAAAAATTAAAAGTTGTAGTAATTTCCCGTGAAACAGGAGGTGACCAAAAACAATTGAATACGTCAGTCAATCCTATTTTTTGTCATATACTAACACACCAAATCTCGTTTTTTTATCTAAAAAAAAAATAAAAAAGTTAAAGGGATAAACCACTTTCGAGACACACCCGGTATATAGCTTCTGTAGTTTTAACTTTTTTAATCGTTAATCTTCTTAGGTTTTTGAATTTGTAGGCAGTCTCTCAATTGCTGGAACAATTTTCGGCATCCTTGGCTCTCTATCTTTGTCACTGTACTCCATCTGGACCAAAAAAATATTACCCAAAGTAGACGGTCAAGTCTGGGCATTATCTTACGCAAATAACGTGTATGCTTCTATTCTTTTCATCCCTATCATGATTCTGAACGATGAAATACCCATTATCACTAATTACCCTTATCTAAGGGAACCTTTCTTTTGGGCAATCCTTCTGGGAGGAGGAGTGTGTGGATTTTTAATAGGATTTTTCACTTCTTTACAAATCAAGGTAACAATTAAGGCATTACTGTTATAAATTGACTGAATTAATTTAAATTTATTTGCAGTATACATCAGCTTTAACACATAATATATCGGGTACAGCAAAGGCTTGCGCTCAAACTATTTTGGCAACTTATTGGTACCAGGAAACCAAATCGTTTATGTGGTGGTTTTCGAATTTAGTGATTTTAGCGGCTAGTGCAGCTTATGCTCGTATTAAACAACTAGACATGGAAAAGAAACATCGCCAGGGTCCTAGTTATTCCAAAGTGTAACCTTTTATAGAATAAATTGTTTTAAAAAAGCTTGTAGTTTTATTTCATTTCCTCTTTATACAGGGTGACGCGCGTCTCCTTCGCCTCGTTTGATTATACGAAAACGGAAAGATGTAGAAACAAAATATTTTATGGGTATATGTAGAGAGGCAATGCGCATAATACAAAATTATGTTGAAATGTACAGGGTATGTCAGAACTAAGATCCACACCAAAGTTCTATTTTTTCTTATGGAACACCCGGTATTTTATTTCATTTTTGAATCCTTGGACACAAAATAAGGCATTTATTATAAGGGTTAAAAATATGTTTACAAGGTTTGGGTTTTGACATACATGAATATACATATTTAAAGATGCATGATATAATAAAAAGAAAGATTATTCACATCCTGTACATTACTTTTCAGAATTAATTCTTGTGCTGACTTTTAAGCCAGAGAAATAAACTTTACTGAAAAATTTAATTGGTTCGTTTAATGTATATAGGGGTATCAAAAATTTCTGGTCTATTTTAAATATTTATTTTACATAAAAACTTCGTTATTTCAAATATACAATACTCTGTATTTTTTAAAATAAGTCGAAGCAGATTTAAATGCTCTTTCAAACTATATTAGGGTTTCCTATACCTATCTAGTCCAAATTTGTGTGGATTGAGCAATTTTTCAATAAAATGGCATCCAAGAGGCCTGATGTTGTCATGGCAAATTTTTAGTGACAGTTACAGTCTGACAACCGAATGAAGGGAGGTCGAAAGAATGCGAGCAAAAAACATCCTTGCATTTTACGATGTCACAATTTTCTCGTAATAATCCTAATTTATTTTGTATAGACTAGAAGTACAAATTTTAAATTTCTATTTCATTACTTAACCTTATGAATTTTCTCAGTAGTATTGTCTTCTGGGATTTGCTATTTTATTTACATGGAGAAATGCAGAATAAAATTACTATTACCACTTATTATTTAAAAAACTATTTCAAATATACCTACTACAAAATAGAACCGGCAAAAGCGCTGCCTCGGGCGATTTTTCGCCGTGGGCCAGAGTGAGAGGATGAGAGATTATTCCTAGGAGACATCCTAGGAATCCTAGTTTAAAAAATTATTCTAATTTAAAAAATTAAATTGTGTACCTACCTGAGATCGGAAGCCGTTGCCGAACTTTGGTCACAGGCGTAGGCGGAAAAAGTTCCAACTGTGTTTTTTAATTAGTAATAGTTGTTTGGTTTGGTTAATTTATAATTCGTTTATTTTGTTACACTTATTAACTGGACTCGTTTTTGGTTGTTTTGTGTAATAAAGTAAGTATTTGCATGGAAAAAAAATGTCATATATAAGTGACACATTTCCTGATACATTTATATTTGTAGGGTTTTAGCAATCCTTAAACCTTAAATAGTTTTTTTTAAATAATGGAACGAAATATTTTTTTACAAGGAAACCCCTTGCTGGCCAATCTTGGGAAATTATCGCTAATGTATGTAGAGTTTGCGATGTAGAGGCAAGAAACAATGCTTTTAAATTAAAAAGAAAAATTGATTGCGTGTCTCTAAAAAGAAAAATTGATTGCGTGTCTCTATATACTGGGGTTTCTCAAAAAACAGTCCGCAAAATTCATAGAGAAGATGAGGAGCGGCAACGGGAACGTCCAGCTGAGATGCTGTCATCACCACCTAAGAAAAAAACCCGCTTGTCTCTTATGAAAGACTTCGAAGATTTTCCTGTCATTAGACAAACAATAAAAAAGTTTTATTTGGAGCTAAAAGTCGTTCCTACACTTAAAAAATTACTCCTTAAGCTGCGAGAAATAATGAATTTTCCGTATAGTCGCGAAACATTGAGGATGCTATTAAAGGCCAATGGATTTCATTTTCGGAAATGCCAAAAAGGATATGCCAAAAAAATGCCAAATGGAAAGACCCACGATTCTTCATTGGCTAAAGTCAATTCGAAAATACAGAGAAGAAGGACGCAACATAATTTACATTGACGAAAATGTTAGCAAAGTAACGACGTTTTTGGAATAGTTAATAATATTAGGGCAAGTGGTAAGTTTTGAAACCAGTTTAATTTAATTTATTTATCTGATCATGACCATAAGAGTTTTATTTCTGTTTTTGGTAAAGTGAGGTCCATTAAGACTGCAACAAAGGGGATTTTTATCAAACAATAATAACTCAACTGATTGCAAGTTAATAAAAATATCAAGAATAAAGAATAGAGACATAAAAATAATACATTGCTTAAAATAAAAAATAAGTTAATCAAGTCGTATAATTTTTTTAATCAGCTGCACCTAGGTTTACAAAATTTTATCCCGCATTTTGAAGAGAAAATCTAGAAATAAAAAATAAAAACGTAATCAACATTGAAAATACATTTTGGGAGGTTGACCAGTACATGGAAGAAGTGGAACCTATAATTATTCAAACTGATGACAGCAGTGATGATGATTCCGACACCGACACTGACGATGAAAGTGATAAAGAAAATTAGACTCTTATATGTACAGGGTGTTTCATAGACCTAGTATTTGTTTTTTGTTTTTTATTTAATAGTTAAGTACTTACATTACCAAAGAGACATTTATAATTTAGAGTTTAGGTTTTGACCGTTCATAGTTTATTATAATACTTTTAATATTATTTATTTATTTCCAAATGTTTTGAGTTTTTTTACCTATTTGTTTTTTATTAGATAAGTACCTATTAGGTAGACATTTGAAGTTTAAGACTCAGTTTAAAAAATACCAAAAATACCACAGCGTTCTTAGTTTATACCTAATATTATATTAAGTATATCTATTATTATCTAAGTAAATAATTACCAAAATTTGTATTTACCTCCAATGTACTTATTAAAACTGATTAATATTTTTAATAATAATCTGATTAAAATAAATTTGCACGCCTATGACATGACTAGATTTTTTACACGCTTTCCCCTCTGCTGCTTCAGACGTCGTTGCCCTTCATTCAGTTGTCGCACTGTAGTAGATATTTTCTCAAAATCGAAATTAGTTTATGGACTTTATTTAAATTTTTAGCATTTCCAGTGTTGTGTTATTTATTAGAATGTCTTTTCTGTTCACTATTTTTGTTGTACAGGGTGGTCGAAATTGGTCTGTTTTAATAGAGAAAACCTATTTCCTGACTATATAGATGTAGCAAAACCGACATAGATGTCATGGACTCGATGTCTGAGACACGTTTAATGGCGTAAACCGCCTGTTGATATTTTCACTGCCAACTGAGATACGGGGTCTTTTTGAATTTTTTACCATTTGGAAAATTGCCCATAACTTTTTTATTTCGCGGAATAACAAAATTCTGTAAAAACGTTCTTAAGGCACTTTTTTAAGCACAATCCAGTGGCGTAGTCAACTTTTTTCTATGCTTGCTCTTTTTATCAGAAATAATAAAAAATTAATTTTTAAATGGAAATCGTAGTGGGCTATGAACTTAAAAAAATACTGGCGTTTAACTTTTTCCAACGATATAAAGTTATGGGTATCTATTTTCTACGTATGAGAGCGGGCTTGATTTTGTAAAAAATGTCTATACCTATGTAGCGGATTTATCTCTCCAAAAAAATCCTTTATGGGCATTTCGCCACTGCACTGCAAGAAAATCTACAAAATAAAATAGTTATTTTTTTGTAAACACGTCTGCGTTAAACCTAAACGGACACTGCTTGTCAGAAGTTATGTTTACCAGTTATACAAATTTGCCTAACAAAGAAAAAAATGCTTAACGTTTCGGAAAGTTTATCTCTTTCCGTCGTCGGAAAAAAAAAATATAATTTTGTATTGACCTATTTTCCTAATAATTTTTATCACAATTTGATATTCTATAATATTTATCTGCATAATTAAAAATTTTGAAAATGTAAATTAACATTCTATATTAGTTTTATTAATTACAATTGAAATCGATACAATAAACAAAGAACAAAACTAAGAAAATTTATTTTTTGAGTGACGAATATAGTTTTCTAAAAAAATCATCAGATGTTCAAACTGAGCACCTCCTTGTTGAATACACAATAAACATCTTTTGCGCACAGAGTTACAAAGATTTATTAGGCGAACTGGTGTAATAACCAAAAGCTTGCCTAGTAGCCTTCTGTAATTCTTCTCTCGTCCCAATGGTTCCTCCTTTATGTAAGGTGTTTTAATTTCCCCCATAAAAATGTCGAAAAGAGTTAAATCACAGGACCTCGTAGTCAAAGACATGGGACTACGACATGTTCCAATCCAATTCTCTCTAAATTCTCCGCATTTAACAGTGCAGATGTAACCCTGGCGTTTTAATTGTAAATGGTAATACTAATATAGAATATTCATTTACCTTTTCAAAGGTCTTTAATTATGCAAATAAATAATAATAAAGAATATTAAATTGTGATAAAAAATAATTAGGCAACTAGGTCAACACAAAATCAAGGCCCGCTTCGATACAAAGATAAAAAACCTAATATTACTCTCATTATCAGAAATAAATACACATAACTTTATGTCGTTGGAAAGGGTTAAACGCCAGCATTTTTTTAGGGTCATACCTAACTATGATTTCCATTTAAAAAATTATATTTTTTATTATTTCTGACAAAAAGAGCAAGTATAGAAAAAAACTGACTACGCCACTGGATTTTGCTTAAAAAAGTGCCTAAAGAACGTTTTAGCAGAATTTTATTATATCGCGAAATACAAAATTGCAGTGAAAATATCAACAGGCGATTTACCAAAGTGTAACTATTAAATGTGTCTCAGAAATCGAGCCCATGACATCTATGTGGGTTTTGCTCTATCTAGTCAGGAAATAGGTAAACTCTGTTTAAACAGACCAATTTCGACCACCCTGTACATTACTTTAGTTTCTGCTAAATTTATTTTGAGACCTACTTTATTGCTGGCTGTATTTAGTTCGTTAATTTGTGCTTGTAGCTCTTCAGGACTAAATATATAGTTAAGAATATAATACATTTATTTATTTAAGAACAATTTAAAACATCTCGAATATTTTTTTAGTCAGTGCACAATTTTTTGACTGCTGTGTCAAAATATAAGTTCAATTAAATTTTCCAAAAATATGTTAATCTTTATATCGCACCTATTACGGACGATTATACGAAAACAGCAACTGTTTAGATTGTTGATTACCCTAGTTATGTTTGAACAGATAAACCTAATCGATTGCTTATCTATGTACGGGGCTGCTTATCAGCAGGGTCCCTGGTACAACTTAATGAAACAGTAGTTCGTGATCCTGACCGTTGGGCACCCCGATTTCGAAACAGGAAATTTACTGATAATGATGGTACAGCCAGTGGCGAAAGAACAAAATGCGAATTTCGTGTGAATTCTAGAGCTTCGGTTTAGAAGAAAGGATTTTTGTATTCTGATGTGGCTGAAAAAATGATCAGTGCTGTATGCTGTCTCTTTTGTCTGATGATGACTGTTGCTCAGTGTGAACTTGTACAAGATGATAGGGGTAAGTGATATACACTTCCTTAATAAAAACCTCGTCAAAATATTGTTATTTTACCTATGAACCAAAAAGAGCAAGACAATTTTAGAGAAAATGTATTTTTGTAGTTACCATTTTTTACAAAAACAAATAACTAAAGAATAGAAAAACAAGTGATTTTAGAAATTACAGAACTTAACCAACTAAAATAAAGAACTTAACTAAAATATTTATTTTCTCTGATACCGTAAATATACTGTTTAGTGTTTATTATACAGGGTGGTTCGAATTGTATTCGGGAAACTTCGGCAGCATATTTTGCAGATAAAAATAAGTAACAAGTTTGTATAAATGTATGTCCTAAAATGCTTAGTTTCGAGATACAGGGTGTATAAGCTTTATTTTTATTGCGATTTTTGCCAAATAATTTCTGAAATAACGCCAATATTTTTTACAAAAACAAGTAACTCTAAAGAATAGAAAAACAAGTGATTTTAGAAATTACAGAACTTAACTAACTAAAATAACGAACTTAACTAAAATATTTATTTTCTCTGATACCGTAAATATACTGTTTAGTGTTTATTATACAGGGTGGTTCGAATTGTAGTCGGGAAACATCGACAGCATATTTTGCAGATAAAAATAAGTAACAAGTTTGTATAAATGTATGTCCTAAAATGCTTGGTTTCGAGATACAGGGTGTATAAGTTTTATTTTTATTGTGATTTTTGCCAAATAATTTCTGAAATAACGCCGATATTTGGATGAAAATTGGTGTCTGGGAGTTTTTTGACATGAGAAATTTGATTTTGATGTCCATATGATTCCTACTTGTAGGGGGCGCCACCTATTATTATATCTTATTTCAATTTTTGTCAAATGATTTCTGAAATAACGTCGATATTTGGATGCAAATTAGTGTTGCACAAGAGTCTTGAAAACGTCTTGCAAGACCAAGACTCTTGCGAGAAATTCAAGACTAGACTTTCAAAATTTCTTGTCTTGAACTTCAAGGCAAGACAAGACTTTATTATGCAAGAAATTTCAAGAGTCTTGCAAGATTTCTTGAATTCAAGGTTCCTTGAAAGTTAGAAATGATACATTTTTTTAAGTGATAATTAGGTCTTTGCGCAAGTTATGCCGGGTTTATACAACATTTACATAGTCGTAATCACAATCATAGTCATAATCATAAAAGTTAAACTATACACTTCTTATAAACCTGTTGACATCTACCATGAACTTAGCCTTTAATTATGTTACCCAACTTCACTGATATAGAAATTATGATTATGAAAATGTTCTATAAACGCACATTAAAATTACGTTGTGATTATGACCATGATTAAGACTGTGATCATGATTACGACTTATGCAAATGTTGTATAAACCCGGCATTAATATTGACCAGTGGTCATTTTTTTTCTATCATAGCCTGTTTTTTAGAGTTGAGAATGAAATAAAATAAAGCCGAGTCAACAAACCATATATTGGTAATTGGTATTATACACAAAATTATATTGGTATAATGGTATTATAAAAAAACTAACGGTGCCGGTGGTTGAAACTAATGGTGTGTTCGTGGAGCACGCTATTTGCGCTATTTGGTACAACTTTTCATGCACGAAATTGCTCCGCGAACAAAAATTAGTATCAAATAGCGCAAATAGTACACTCTAGCATGACCTTTCCGCACACCCTGTGTCCAAACGTTTCCAACCAATTTTCCATAATAAAAAAATAAAATAAATATGTACCATAAAAAATAAACGTAACAAACGGGTAACCAAAATAGAACATAATAAACTAACAAGAATTAACAACTAGAACTAAAAAATGAACTTATGGAAATTCATCCATCCAGGAATTCAAACAAATTCAACTTCTTACCGATTCTGAATTTAGCCGGTTTCTGTGTTTCCTTATTACCAGTGCTGTCTTCGAAAAGGGCCTTTCTGCGGGAACAGAAGTAGCCGGCGTACAAAAAAAATCACGAGCCATTTTTGAGAGCACTGGGAATTGGCACTTTATTTGGTAATGGCCCCTGTTTCGTCAAACGGGCGAGTTGACGTAGTTCGTTTGCGGTCCGTTAAGATTTTTTTTGCTAAAATTTTGCTCTGTATTACATTTTGTATACGACGCTTTCTATGAAATAAAATATAGAAATGTTATTACCTTTTTGTTAGAATGTAAAATTTTTCAAGACAAGAAATTTCAAAAGTCTTGCAAGACAAGAGAAGACTTTGCCATTCAAGAAATCTGCAAGACAAGACTTTGAAAATGTCTTGTCTTGAATTTCAAGACAAGACAAAAAATTGATTTTCTAGACAAGAATTCTTGTCTTGTGCAACACTAATGAAAATTGGTGTCTGGGTGTTTTTTGACATAAAAAAATTGATTTTGGTGTCAGTATGATTCCTTAAATTACCTTTTTTGTGATAAATGTGCAGCAGACACTGACCTACCATATGTTTTCTAGAAAAATGTATGATTAATTAAAAATGAAAAAATAAAAAGTTCCTAAATTTATCATTTTAATCAAATAACTATCTAGTCAACATATGTTTATTTTTTGACAAAATTACTTGTTTTGATCATTTCCATTCCAAATATCTAGAATTTATGTATATTTTTTCAATCCAGACACCAATTTTCATCCAAATATCGACGTTATTTCAGAAATTATTTGGAAAAAATTGAAATAAACTCAACACCCTGTATCCATACATTTATTCGAACTTTTTTACCTAATTTTATCTGCGGAATATGCCACCGCAGTTTCCCGAATACATTTAGACCACTCTGTATGGGTATGTTAGACTTGTCAATAGTAATCTGACAGAATATATCAAGTACTAATGAACTTTTGTATAAATTGTTATTACATATTTATTACGTTAATCCCGAGGGGTAAACACATAGGGCAAAAAGTGTACACCTACATCCTCTATCCTTAGTACATCCCCTACATCCTCCAGTACATCCTCGGTACATCCCCTACATCTTCGTACATCCCCTAGTACATCCCCTACATCCTCGGTACATCCACTACATCCCCGGTACATCCTCGGTACATCCCCTACATCCTCTGTACATCCACTACATCCTCGGTACATCCCCGGTACATCCCTTTAGTTCTTATTCATATTATTATCAATCATATAGGTATAGATATCAATCAGAATACCAGGTATTGCAACGGCAGACCGTCTATAGGAAATCCCCTGTAAATTTAGTTGGAAACGAAGTTCCCTCAAATTTGTGAAATTTGTAAAATTAAATGTCAATAACGATGTTGTAAAATCATATTGACATATTATTTGTATTCAAATTTCACAAATTTTAGAGGACTTTTTTCCAAAAATATCTTAAACTGCTCATGCTAATGGAAACTATCCATATTTTGTAATTTAATCTGCTGATCTATTATATTTTTTTTAAAGTAATATAATAAAATCATTGCTAAAAAGTTAGGTGGCACAATTATTGTATTTTTTTCATAGTGATGACGATATCCATTTCTCGATATCCTTCAGGAGATTAATTTTAAACTACTAGTTTTTATCCTAGCTTTTTTATAGCAAAGGTACCTATTATCAATGAGTTAACACGCATTGATATTAATATTCTGTATAGGACCAGTGATGATGTTATATGAACGCGTATTCATATGGGATTTACTCAAGGATTTACTGGTGACAATGTTGTGGAGTAACATCATCTTGCTCAAAGCTCATAAATAAGGTAGACTTAGTTTCAAATATGATTGCTTTATTAGATATAAAAAAATCGACACATTGATGTGTTTTTAAATATTTTAAAATATTTTCTTACACAATGTACCTACACCTACAAAAACTGAAAAACAAGTAAACCTAGATATAAATAAAATTTTAAAATATGCAAGTTAAAGATTTGGAGTTACATATTTCTTTGTATATATAATAATATTTTACACTATTATGATATTACTCAAAACTAGGTACAGTGAGATGCATTACAATTTGGACACGTGTTTTTGAATACCCGTCGTGAAATAATGTCAAACAATAAATTTTTGAAACATGAATTGTGTCGAAATTCTGACATAAATGAAATCAGTGGTAAGAGCATTAACTTTCTATTTTGTTTATAGTTTATATAATTCTGTTTTGTTATTCTGTTAATCATATTATTCTGTTCAGTTCTAATTCATATTTTAAAGTTCTGGGATTGCTGTGGTATTATGATTATGTAGTAGAGATACGCGGCACCTCGCGCGGCACTGCATTTGACTGAATTGTTTATTGATTAGGATTTGTACTTAATACCGATTGTTATTAAAAACATGTGTCCGAATTGTAATGCTGTTCACTGTATACACTCATTATGTAAATTAACAAAAGTAAATCATATTACCTAATAGGAACAATAACGTAACAAACTCAGTCTTATACTCGTACAATGAATAAAAAAAAGAAAAACATTTAAAAATCCTTGAAAGGAATATAAAACCTCTATTAAAAAAACAAAAAGTTAACATTGTTCTCTTTTCAAAAAAAAATTATCCTAGGAGGGCTACTTCTTTTGAGAATAGGCAAAAGATATATTTTGATAATCATCATTTTTTAACTGCAAATTCCCGTCCAAATCAGGCGACAAACAAACAGGGCCGAAAAAAATTAACTCTTTTTCGACCTCCGCTGTGTCTGCTTTTTTGGGCCAATAAAAGAAACCCCCATTTTTTTTCCTTTGAGAAATTTCATTCTGAAAGTTTTTCCCATTTTTGCTTCGATCTCGCCGATGAACCACCCTGAATCGTAGTAAACCGCATAAAATTTGTTCAATTCAACTTCTGGCTCAAGTCTTGAGTCTTGATCTCGATCTTGATCTTGATTTTTTGAGTCTTGGTCCGATCCATGACTGCTGTTACATCATCCTCCGAAGATGTTTCACATGAAGAAATTCTTCTACCTCCCTTTTTTTTGTTTTGCCTGGCAATTTCTCTTTTTTATTATTTTCGACTGCACTCTGATGATTTT